CTCTTTTCACTTTTAGCATAGGGGGTGTAGTGTATCCCCAGTGCCTTGTATTAATCTGCTAAGGCTCCTTCCTCAAGAGTGTATGATAACGTGACTTCTGTCTTCAGGGCTGAGAATCATGATGAATTACCTCTTATTTATGGCTTATCATAGTTGAGGGGTTTAATAAACAGATTCAAGCATTACAGGATTTATAACCCGGGGAATGATTTGGTATAGAACATGTTTTGCAGATTTATGAACATATATATTTTTAAAAGCTGAGCTTTTGGGGAATATGCTCCCTGTTCATGTCATTATTGTACTGTGTGTTCTAGTTTGTTTATCTACTTTTTTTTTTTTTTTTTTTACTATCGTCTCAGCTGTGTTTCTGTGTCTCCTTCTACCTTTAGGCCATTGCAACCTGTTCATTTCTAAAAGCCAGAGTGAATGAGAGAGAGAGAGAGAGAATCTACAAAGTAAAGAGAATTTCATGTGTGCTATGACATTGTCTGGGCTTAATAGAAGCTTTAACACATGTTTCATTTTAGTATATTTTTTTCTCTCTAGATTCAAAATCAGGTTAACCTCTACCCACATTTTGTACATTTTATAGTTATTATAGGTGAAATATGGCATTTTGGAATATCTGGTCTTTTATTATTAATGCTTGCCTCCCTTTTTTTTTTTCTAAAAAGATCCCAGTTATACATGAAGTTCATAGAAAGTCAATATTGAAAAATTAATTGCATAGGTAACTTTTTCAACATGACCTATTGCACTAAGTATAACAAGTTACTGATTTTTTTTTTCAGAGATTTGACCTGTGGCTCACATTTAAAAGTCACCATTCATTTTATGGACTTGCCCATCAAATTAAATTTTATTTGGTCCGTCAACATTTTATAGTGTTAAATTGTTACTGCTTGAAATCCATGTGTCATTAAAACATAAAACTTGTTCTTTGGCAAGAAATCTAACCATGACCAGTTAGATTGACTTGTGTCGGTTTTAATTTCAGAACTCCCAGAAAAGTATGGATTGTTAACTATACAGGATTGGGATTTTTTTTTGGAGGAAAGCAATGGTACATTGTTCTAATAGTTTAGAGACTGTACTTTATGCACTTTTTTTCCCCCCTCACTGTGGGAGAGTGAAAAAAATTATTGGCTTTCAAACTGTCAAGTAGCTTTTTTTCTTGGTGATTTGCTGAGTCTGATGGGTACAGGTAAACAGATCTTGCTTTGAGGAGCTTACCTGAGGAAGCTTTCTGGGTCTGACTTACTGCTTTCCATGGTTGCAATGGGCACTCAGTAAAAATAGTAATTATTCTGTGTCATGACGCCTCTGACATCAGTTTTGTTTTATTTACAATTTGTATGCTGATGATTTTCCAAAAGATGATTAAAAGTATCATTTTTTATCGTAAGTTTAGGACCTTTTTAAATAAAGTCAGGGAGTAAAAAAAAAATTTTAATGTGAAAAAAAGGGGCAGAGAAAATGCCACCTCATCAGAGACCAGGGATAATATGGTTTTAACAATGGAATATTATGTTTAGTTCTGATACTCATATCCTATTATATTGTTATTTAGTCTCTATTTTAGATTTTTTATATATTCGCACCATTTCTTTCCCAGCAAATTTAAACCCCAGGAAGGAGAGAACCTGTCTGTTGCTTTTTTGTTGTCTTCCATATCCCATCAGAGTGCCTCTCTTGAACACAATAAATACTCCAGAAATGTTTTTATTGATTCTGACAACGTATGAATATTCCAAGCATTTTCATAAATTCATAAGATCTTTTACATAATTGAGGGACGGCATACTTGCTTCCTTAAATATCCATTCAATCTATATTTTCTGGCTATGCTACTCAGCTTTCAATATGAATTCTAGCAGACTGCTAGATCTAGGAAACAATGCTCACAACTTCTGAGGCATCAACATGTCCAACCCCTGGCTCATCTCTGGGGCTGTTGTTCTCCCTGTAGGTACATTCTGTAAAACCTTTTGTTACAGCTGTGATTTTACTCTGTATGCCACAGAACAGAGTTTCCAAGCGTTTCGTGGAGAATCTGTTCTCATTTTCTCATGAATTTATTATTAAATATCCTGACACTATCAATTACATTATGTCTCTTCATCCAGAGATGCTACTTTCCTTATTTTTAATTTTTCATAGATGAGGAACAGCCTTGAGAATGCAAACATTTCTTTTTCCTTTTTTCTTCCTGAACTGGTTGGCAAAGCATGTGCTCCTTCTCACGTCTTTTTCTTTGCTTTTTAATAGTATGCTGCATCCATCGAGAACATTTACAAATTTCCCTAACTGGAAACAGGTCAAACTGAAATTGGGCCTTCTACCCATAGACTAAAAGATCTAGAATTCACCAAAACCTTATACATACAACAGTACGTTTCATGGGCTAAAAAACTAGTTATCACAGGATGGCCTTGACCTGAGGGATCAAACCTGAGGGCATATGAAAAAGTGGAGGAAAGAGCAGAGAACGTCACTCCTGTTTCTCACAGGACGACACAACTGTACTTCAGTTCCAAGAATGTTATGTGCTCCTGTTTTTACTTCATTAGTAATTCAACATGCCTGATTTGCTCACACAATACTTTCAACTTAGTTTACCCATTTGACCTGGAACAAAGTGAAAGCACATTTTGCCCAGCTGAAAGGTCTCCTGGCAAGTTGGTTAGCAACAGGCTTGTCAGTCCCGCTTCAGTTAGCAAAGAATAAACACATTTCACTCGACAATTACTAGTGTACTAACTTCCTCCCTGTGCAATTTTCGATTTCACATTCTTGAATCTTTTTTTTTTTTTAAACTTGCTATTCAACTTTATACCAGGAATGCCTGCCTTCCTCAACAAGAGTTCCAATTTCTTGAGAACATTAGTTTCTACATTTCTTCGTGGCCGTGAGGAACCCAGTTTAACCGCCCGGAGGAGGGCTCGGAGAGAATGTCCACTCGGAGGGAGGCAACAGCGACGCTGCAGTCTTAACATCTTGCCCCCTCGGTAGCTGGACGTTGTGGCTTGATACGTACCAATTAAAGCCTCCGGCTACGGCTTCCACAACTACCAGTTTTGCCGCAGCTCTCTAACATGTGGTCACTCGGGAGGGTGTACTCGGAATAGGGCGAGTCCGGGGGGCACGCGAGGGGGCTGCGAGCAACGCAGGCGCAACGCCCGAAACCAGACGACGTCGGGAGAGCGACGGCCAGAGCCGGCCTCTCCGAGCCGGTCGCGGCCGTGGCGCCCCGACGTGCACCTGGGGACGGGGCGCGGCAGGACCGAGCCCGAGCGCTGCTCGGTCCTGCTCCCTGCGCTCGGGCGGGCGACGACTACGCGGCCTCGCCCGCGGCCCCGGGGAGTGGATGGGGCGGCCTCGGGCCGGCTCCGGTCCTCCGTGTCCCTGCGCGCCCCGCCTCCCGAGGATACCTGCGAACTCGGCGCACCCCAGCCCCACTACGTTTAAAAGTGTATTTCTGGGGGTCACGGTGCACACCGAAAGGCTCGCTCCGCACCCCCAGGGCGCGCGAGGCCTCGGAGCCCGGAGACAGGCCCCTCCCAGCGCAGCTGTCGCCGCCGCCTGCGGGCTCCTTTCACTTTCTCACGGCCAAGTCACCCAGAGGGGCGCCGCTGCCGCCACCGCCGCTGCGCCCGAGAACTCCGCCCCGCGCCGCTTCGCTACCGGCCCCCGCCCGTCCGGGCCCCGCCTACGCCGGTAGTTTCTGTCCGCGATTGGCGCGCGCGAGCGGCAGCTCCGGCTCGTCTCCCCCATTGGCTGCTCTCTCCTGTCAGTCCGACGATTGCCCGCCACTCCCTCCGCCCTCCTGCAAAGCCGCCCTCCCATTGGAGGAGACTGGGCGCTGGGGGCGGGCGGAGAGCGCCGGTCCAGCCGCTTACGGTCAATCGCAGAGGCCCAACGCCGGGAGGGGGGGAGGGGGGGGGGGGGGGGGGGCGGACCGGGGCGGGGGGGGGGGGGGGGGAACATCTGGCCGGCGCCGCCGCGTGCGTGCGTGGTGCGTCCTCCCGCCCCCTCCCCTCCCCCTCCCCCAGCCGCCCCCCCGCCCGTCCCCCGCCCCCCCCCCCTTCCCCGGCCGGCGGCTCCGCGCTCGCTCCCTCGCTCGCTCCCTCGCTGTGTCTGGCAGGCTGCGGCCGCCGCTGGGCTGCTGCCATGGGGAGCCGTTGAGAGTGGGGCCCTCTTCGCTCCGCCGCGCTCCTCCGGCTGCCAGCGGGGGTGGGTGGGAGGGAGGGAGGGGGCAGGGGGGAGCGGGCGACGGAGCCGGGATTGGGGGGCGGGGGGGCCGGGAGGGAGGGGGGCAAGAGGAGGAGGAAGCCCACCAAGTCCGGCGGCGGCGGCGGCGGCGGCGGCCGGGAGGAGGAGGAGGAGGAGGAGGCGGAGGACGCGGCGGCGGCGGCGGCGGCGGGGACGCGGTGACTTAGGGCCGCTCCGTGTGAGTCCCGGCGCCGGCCCCGGCCCCTGACCCGGCGTCCCCTCCGCGCCCGGCCCCCCTGGCGGGCGGGGGGCGCCAGCTGTGCGGCCCCGGCCGGCGGGCCAGAGCGGGCGGAGGGCGGGCCGGGCCGGGGGCGCCCCCGCGAGTGGAGTTAGTTTGTGTGCTTGGAGCGGTTGGGGCGGCGGGGGGCGGCGCAGCTGCGGGAGGCCGGGCGCGGGGACGGGGCCGCCGCAGCTGCGGGGTCGGGCGGGGTGCGGGCTCGCCGGCTCCGCGCCGCGCCCCCCCAACCCGCCCCCCGCCTGCCCGCCCCGCGGCCGGTGCAGCTGCGGCGCGGGGCGGGCTCCCGGCCGGTGCAGCTGCGGCGGCGCCTCCCGGGTGCGGAGGGCGGCGGGCTGGGGGAGGGGGCTTGGGAGCCGCCGCAGCTGCAGCGGCGCCCGGGACGGCCGCGGCTCCGGGGACCGGTGCAGCTGCAGTGGCGCCCGGGGGGGGGGGGGGGGGGGGCGGGGGGGGGGGGGGCCCCTCCCGGGCTGGTGCAGTTGCCGGGAGGCCCCGGGGGCTCGCGCGCCGCGGCGTCGGGGAAGCGGTAGCAGCCACCCTCCTCCCGCGGGCTTCTTCTTACGACTTTTCTTTTGTTGTTGCCGTGACCCGGGTCTGTTTTCTCGTCTGCTGTTTAAGGTGTTTTCCTGCTGCACCGGCTCTCCGCCCTCCACCTCCTTCCCTGTGGTTTAACCTTCCTCTTTCCCCGTGTGTTTTCTGCACCGTGAACTACATGGAGATTTGCATTTCTCCCCCCTCCTCTGCTCTTCTCCACTCCGAACCCTCGCCCCCTACTCCTTAGGAAAAAAAAACAAAAAACAAAAACAAAAAACCCAACCTTGCAAACCCTCTCTGGCCCCCGCGGTAGCAAGACTGTGAAGGGGTTGATTTGTGGGGTGGGAGTCGCTGGCCCATTGCGGTGCTTGGGACTCATTAAACTGTCACTCACCCCCCATCCCACTGGGTAAATGGGGTGATTAATGTCTGATATATTGGAATGGGGCGAGGGCATTTGCGGAGGATAGGTTGTGTGGCTGAGGAGGAATGCAGCTCCGAAGAGTGCCGCCTCGAACAGGTTTCGTCATTATGTCACTCACCGCGAAGTTATAGAAAGTTAGGTTTGTGACTTTGGCAAAACGAGGACTGGACAGAGACGTTGGTTTTTGTTACTCTTTAACTCTGCCGCGGTTTCCTGATGAGGACGGAGGGCTGATCACCAGGGCTGCAACACTCGCGCCTCGGGCCTTTTCTGCGCCTCACCGTCCCCAGACCCTGTGGAGATGTATCTGACATTCACAGATGTCGCAGCACCTTGCAGGGCGCTGGTCAGCCCAGCCTGGGGTTACGTGAGGATTTCATCAGCCATTAGAAAAGACCCACAAAGTGGAGCTAAAAGTTCCCAAACTTAGGAGACCTGCCCCCACTTCTTACTGAAAGCTGAAAGGTTTTCCTGAGATTGTGAAACATTACAGAGCGACCCAAAAAAAGATTGTTATGGGACACAGATCAAGGGGAAGACAAAGTTCTGCTTTTTTCTGAGCGGAGGGTCAGATCAGATAGGCAGGTGCAGCGCTCATTTTAAGTGGCCGTAGCAGGTTGTATCAGTTTATTAATTTGTCTCATGGAACTGAAGTTCTTTCCAGGATTTCAGAAAGTGCAGTTTCACCTTGTTGATACCGAGAGCTGAAATTTGCATGAAGTGGTAGTGTGAGAAATTTTATGGAGAAGGTAGTAGGAGACAAAACAGTTAAAATGAGAGTGAAATTGTAAGGTGAACCGGGCCGGAGTAATAGTTCTGTCTCATCTTCCAGCATTCCGAGACACGTATGCCATTATCTCGGCAGAAAAGAAAAAAAAAAAATGAAAGTACCGTAATAATGTCGAAATGGGACTGGAGATGTCAATTGGGTTGGTTTAAAAATATCCCCTAAGCTGCCTTTGAAACTAAACGTTGGAGTTGAATAAAAGTGAATCTGGATTTCCTGCATAGCACCGTGGCTTGAGTGTGCCTGTCAGTGTGCAAGCCAGTCCACCAACTTAAGACAGAAGTGTTGCTATTCCATAAATACAGTAGAACTCCATATGCTGAGTTTTTCCATTTCTTTCTGTTAGAAAGTTTGGAAAAAAAGGGAGACTTTGAAGTATTTTGTTTATACTAACAGAAGAGAAAAGTTCTCCTAAGAAAAAGCTGGTGGCAGGAGTGTAGAGGAGTAGCATATGGCATTAAAAGGAGCACAGCTGGAGGTAGCATTTCCATCTGAACATGATGTCAGAGCAGCTGACAGCCTGCCATCCCTCAGCCTTTTATTCTAACACACAGACAGGGAGTTAGTGTGTGCGGATCTGTGGTGGAGAAGGTATCTTATTCCTCTCTAACATCATCTCCACTTTGCATCTGTCTCTCTTAGTCTGCTTTTTTTCCACCGATGTAACAGACCTGGAGCCAGCGAGACTCAGAGGAAAGGACTTAATCAGGTTTATGTGTCCTAAAGGTAGGAGTAGCAAGAGATTAGATGGAGCATATTTCTGTTTTGGTGTGTTGTTTATTTAATTAAAAAAAAATCACATTACTTTTCTAACCCAGTTTAGGAATAATATATGAAACTGAGTCTTAAATGAACATCTTACTGGAGTTGGGAGTCTTGGGCTTGTTTAGTTTTAATTTTTATCCCTTTTGCTCAAGCAAGTAAATAACTTTAATACACAGAAATATTTCAAGTTTTGAAATGTGAAGGAAGGCTTTGAAATGTTGCTTTTCGAGATCACTTTGGATTAAAATGCTTCGTGTGGTTGTTCACTGCTATTTAGATTCCTTTTGCTTGTGGGGCGGAGGGGGGAGAGAAATAGTAAACTGTCTGGAATCCAGCATTCAAACTTATATGAGAAGATTATTCTAGTTAAGAAGCTAGATTGTTGTGTAATTAATTCCACTGTGAAACTTTATTCTTCAAAACATTCAGCAGCACTACTGAAACATACAGCTGTAGTGCTTTTGAAACCGAAGGTTTTTTTCAAAGGGGGAAAAAAAAAAACTTTTGTCCCCAGGAGAATAGTGTGACTGGTTTCCTCATTTCTCTTTCAAATATATATTTAAGAGAGCTTTTATTTCAGCATAACAATAATTATTTGCAGGAGTTTTTGTGTTAGCGACTAATTTAGAACTTGTAGATTTGAGCCGCCTGAATTGGCCAGACAGCTGTAATCGCACTCCTCTGTTCTTAATCTCTTTATCTGGGCAGCAGCTGCCATATGGCCACAGTCAGCTGGATCAGATGTTTATAAGCTTCCTTCTTCGTCCCTCTCTGTCCTCTCAGCCTCCTAATTTGATCACGGCTACCTTGTGAGCTGCCCTCCAATCTTTATTTTTAGCCCTCTCAAGGATTAGGATTGATGTTAGCTGTGGGGCACTTAAAGTGATTGTATTGTAAATCTTGGTTTATTCTAAGCGCTGGCATCGTGGCCAAGGTATTTGGGGGCTAGGATGAAAGTTTTGGTCCATCTTGGGCAAAGTGGAGAAAAAGCAGGGAGGTAATTTCTGGAATATTAAATTGCTGTGTGTCCGTTGCCCACATGCACTCTGAGCTGCTCGGTGTGGAACCTTGCTTCTGGTCACAGGAAAGGGGAAGTCGGGTTTTGTCGAATTTTTTAAGGAGTTGAATTTTGCAGTTGAATTTTGACCCTTTGTACATCTTCGCCTTTCCTCTCCCTCCATCTCACCCTCCTTCACCAGAAAAGAAGGGCAGCCGGGCATATTTGAAAGAATAGAAGCTAGTGGGAAAGCAAAAATATATCAAGTTTTAATGAAACAAAGTATTTTCTGTGGCATGAGGTAAGGCAGAGTCAGGGAAAAAAAATAGTTTCTCTTTTCCTAGCAAGGCTTTTGGGGTGGGGGGTGGATGTTGAACCTGTAAAGCTTTTGAATGCGATACGCCTTCATTTGAAAGTTTGAATTGATTTTAGTATGGAATTCATTTGCTTTGCAACAGATCAAAGTTTAGATGAGAATTTTCAGAGTTCAGTGAAGCCCTTCTGGTTCCTGATATTCTGGATGTACAGATTTTACAAAGAAATATTACTGTTTTTTTTCTCAATTCATTTAAAAAATATTTGGATTCGTTCATAGTAAAGATGATCTTTTCCATCTGTTGGTGTAGTTCTCTCTGATCTCGTACATGTGTGCCATACCTGCAAATCCTAAGGCATTAACATCTGTTTTTATACACAGGGCTTTTGTTGTTGTAACACTCTGACTTTAAAAGTGAGTTGTTTGCTAATTTCTGGGCTAATTATGCGATTTCATTTTTTCCCCCTCGATTCAGCCAGTGTGTGCGTTAAAATTGAGCTAAGTGCAGTCATGTATCAAAAGTAATAAAATAAAAAGGACAGTTGAACAAGTGTTCTGAATCTTTCAGAACGTGTTTGGGACTTCTCTTTGTTCGTTCCATGAGCTGTTCCCTTTGAAATTAAAGCTGTTTTGTAGGTTTTGTGGGACATAATTTGATGAGTAGCTTCACTTCTTCTGAAAGAGAGCTGAATTCCTCTTCTCAGTAAGAGACTGCACTGAAATGAAGGCTTTTGAAACTTAACTGAAAGTTCCAGGAAGGTGGAGATACATCAGGGACCGTTGGGCTGGGGCGAGGAAGTTTGGAAAGTGCACTTTTTCTGCTCCTCGCGCGGATTGGGTTTTGTGCGAATGATCTGGTAGTCCCGGGGTCAGAAGCCTGATTAGAATGCAGGGACGTGTACCTCGGCGGCCCCAGCCGAATCACTGTCACTATCCTTGTGTGTGTGTGTGTGTGTGTGCGTGTGCGCGTGTGTGTGCGCGCGCGTGTGTGCGCGCGGGGACCGGCGGCCCCGAGCGCTGGAAGGTTGCTCCTGAGCGGGCTCTCACGAGAAGTCTGTCTGTCCGCAGGTTATGAAGACAGCATGGAGTTCCCAGACCACAGTAGACATCTGCTGCAGTGTCTGAGCGAGCAGCGGCACCAGGGCTTCCTGTGTGACTGCACCGTTCTGGTGGGAGATGCCCAGTTCCGCGCGCACCGAGCTGTGCTGGCTTCGTGCAGCATGTATTTCCACCTCTTTTACAAGGACCAGCTGGACAAAAGGGACATTGTTCATCTGAACAGCGACATTGTTACAGCCCCAGCTTTCGCTCTCCTGCTGGAATTCATGTATGAAGGGAAACTCCAGTTCAAAGACTTGCCCATTGAAGACGTGCTCGCAGCTGCCAGTTATCTGCACATGTATGACATCGTCAAAGTCTGCAAAAAGAAGCTGAAAGAGAAAGCCACCACGGAGGCGGACAGCACCAAGAAGGAGGAGGACGCCTCCAGTTGCTCGGACAAAGTCGAGAGCCTCTCGGACGGCAGCAGCCACATGGCCGGCGACCTGCCCAGCGACGAGGACGAGGGCGAAGACGACAAACTGAACCTCCTGCCAGGCAAGAGGGACTTGGCGGCCGAGCCGGGGACCATGTGGATGCGCCTGCCCTCGGACTCGGCGGGCCTCCCCCCGGCGGGCGGGGAGCCCGAGCCCCACGGCGCCGCCGCCGCCGCCGCCGCCGCCGCCGCCGGAAAAACAGTGGCCAGTCCTTGCAGCTCCAGCGAGTCTTTGTCCCAGAGGTCTGTCACCTCCGTGAGGGATTCGGCAGATGTTGACTGTGTGCTGGACCTGTCTGTCAAGTCCAGCCTGTCAGGAGTTGAAAATCTGAACAGCTCTTATTTCTCTTCACAGGACGTGCTGAGAAGCAACCTGGTGCAGGTGAAGGTGGAGAAAGAGGCTTCCTGTGAGGAGAGCGAGGTTGGCGCTAGTGACTATGACATGGAACATAGCGCTGTGAAAGAGGGCGGGAGCACTAACGCCAGGGTACAGTATGAGCCGGCGCACCTGGCGCCGCTGAGGGAGGACTCGGTGCTGCGGGAGCTCGAGCGCGAGGACAAAGGCAGCGACGACGAGATGATGACCCCGGACGCCGAGCGCGGCCCGGTGGAGGGCGGCATGGAGAGCAGCCTGCTGCCCTACGTGTCCAACATCCTGAGCCCGGCCGGCCAGATCTTCATGTGCCCGCTGTGCAACAAGGTCTTCCCCAGCCCGCACATCCTGCAGATCCACCTGAGCACGCACTTCCGCGAGCAGGACGGGCTGCGCAGCAAGCCGGCCGCCGACGTCAACGTGCCCACCTGCTCGCTGTGCGGCAAGACCTTCTCGTGCATGTACACGCTCAAGCGCCACGAGCGGACCCACTCGGGCGAGAAGCCCTACACGTGCACGCAGTGCGGCAAGAGCTTCCAGTACTCGCACAACCTGAGCCGCCACGCCGTGGTGCACACGCGCGAGAAGCCGCACGCCTGCAAGTGGTGCGAGCGCAGGTTCACGCAGTCGGGGGACCTGTACAGACACATCCGCAAGTTCCACTGTGAGTTGGTGAACTCGTTGTCGGTCAAAAGCGAAGCCCTGAGCTTGCCCACTGTCAGAGACTGGACCTTAGAAGATAGCTCGCAAGAACTCTGGAAATAATTTTCTATATCTATATATATATAAATAATATATATATATACATATATATATATATATATACACACACACACACACACGTATCTATACATAGATCTCTATCTAGTTGTGGTACGGTCTAAAAGCAGCCTTGTTTCCTGGAACTAAAACGTCGGGGCGTTAACTCGGTTTTGCACTTTAGAGTAGCATGAGACTCTCACTAATTTAGCGTTCTGGTAAAAGAGACTTTGGAGCAAGTCGGAGACTAGCGAGGGCTTCTCCTCCGAGGGGGTCGGGGAAGGAAGCCGACAAGGACCTTTGGAACAACTCGTCCTGTCACAGGATGCTCTCACAGGGCTTGATTCTGTCGCCACTGCATTGTCTTCTGAGCGCGCTCTCTCTCTCTCTCTCTCTCTTTCCACTTTGTTTTGGTTTTGTGTTTCTGTTTTGTTTTGTTTTTTTTGTTCCGTTCTGTTTTGTTTTCTTTTTTTTTGTTGTTGTTGTTGTTGTCGTTGTCGTCGTCGTCGTCGTCGTCGTCGTTCCCTTTCCTTTTTCAGAGTAGAAATTCCCTCCAGTTTGATTAGCCTCTTTATAGGTCACAAAATTGCATGAATCTTTTCTGGCTGTTGGAAACCTGAATGCTTTTAGACCCAAATGGAAAATTTCTGAAATGCTGGATTATCTATTTTTAAACAAGCAGTTGACTTAAAACTTTCTGTGGCAACTTCTGGTTTTCTGACGGTTCCCAATGAGAGAAATTCTGAAAGTACACTGGGATCACTGGGATGCTGTCTTTGTGAAGGTTTGCTTGGGATGAAAAAGGATATCGCAGCTTCAGCAGTGTTGAACTGTGTGTTGAAAAATGTGAATTACTGTTCTTGTATACTGTAACTGATTACACGGGCTGGGGGGGGTGTCAGAACTTGACAGGTTGTGTTGATGCTCTTAGTTGAGTCTTGAAAAGTAAATATTAACGCTACAGAAATGCATGAGTTTCAATATATTTTTTGTCTTTGTTTGCATTGTATAACTTTAACGAGTGAGTTTAAAATTATTTAATTTCCTTAGAAAAAAAAATAGCACCGTTTGGGGAAAAAAAACTGGTGTTATGAAGAACGTAAATGCACTGTTTTTATTTTTATTTTATATAATTTAAATTGACTTTCCCACTGTCTTTAAGTTGAAACTGTTAAGCTGAATAAAAACTTAAGCTGCAAATTGATAACTTTGCTACATAACAAGGAAAATATAAATGTTTACAAACGGCTTAAAGATTTGCATGTGCAGTGTGCATTTATAACAAACTTCTAATTGCACAAAACCCATGCCGGCTCAAAAGTTTAGGTGTACACATTTACCCAGCTGAGCGTTTTTAGAGTAACTACTGCACAAATCGACAATAGGTCATTCTCTCTCTTCTTCTTTTTCTTCTTCTTTTTTTGGGGGGGTGGCTCCCCTTCTCTTTTTCTTCCCTTCTCCCTTACACTCCCCTCCCTCCCTCCCTCCCTCCCTCCCTTCCTCCCTTCCTCCCTTCCTCCCTGCCTTCATCCTCCCCATCCCCTCCCACCCCCAACTCATGAAAAGATTCTATGGACTGAAAAAGCCCCGGGCTGAAAGGACTGGACTGCCTTGATTGACGTGGGGAAGGTGGGGAAGGGGGTTAGTAGACTATGTGTATCGGGGCAGCAGAGGCTGCAGCCCAACGTGTGGTTTTAATGACCAGCACGCAGGGCAAAAGCATTTTGCACAGTGTTTGTTTTCCTGTCTTGCACTTACAAATAAGGTCTATGGGAGTAGCATGGAAAACGTTTGCTGTTTTTCCCTTTTTTTTTTTAATTGCTTTTGTTTAAAATTTGATCGCCTTAACTACTGTAAACATAGCCTATTTTTGTGCTTAAGATACTGAATGGAAAACTCCATTGTGTGTTGCTGGACTGTTTTGGAAATATTTGGTCAAATGTGTGTTAATTTGGCTGTAATGGCATTTAAAGCAAACAAACAAACAAAAAAAAAGCTGTGAAAATGGCCTTGGAGCATTATCTTTAGTTACTTGAAGAGTTTCTAGTTTTTTTAAATACAGTTTATGTTAAAATAATTTTTATTAATTTAGAGGAGACAATCAATGTCTGAGAAAAACGGACTTTCTTTTGGATTTTCTTTTTGTGGTCATTGTGAGTGATTGCTTTTTCCTTTTATTAGTTTCACATTCTTCCTTTGTTCTAAAACTTAGACTGACATCTAGCTTTGACAATCATAGTATGTTTTATTTTCCTGAGGGGGGAATAACTTATAATGCTGTTTAGTTTTGTACTATTGGTGTGTTGGTGAATTTTTAAACTGTGTGCTAACTGCAATAAATTATATGAACTGAGAACCTTGCGTGCGTCATTGTAATCGTGATTATGTCCTACGTAGACCCTAAATATGTGTTGTACGTCGCATCTTTATTTTTAATATCAGTTCTGTCCAGAGCTTGTGGGATGATCAGGATGCCTCAACTCACTCAACTGGAAATGTGCAAACATTTGGGCTTTCGGTCCTTTAAGATGCTGATGCACATTTTTAAAACGTGACCCATTTTCTACAACCTAGGTCAAGAATGTTAAGGTAATTCCCTAGCAATCCGTGAATCTACAGAACTTCGCGTGGCAGCATGGGTTTTTCCTAGTGACGCTGCACGGCTAGCTGCTTATTCCTACACCCCAGGCCTTTTTCATGGGTAATTTTATCCCAAGTTGATGGGTCAGATCTATTCTTCTGCGTTCTGGTGTAAGTGGAAGATTGAAGGAGACCGGATGTCTTAATCTGGAAGATTGCTTGGGCTAATGACTGGAATTCTAGGCAATCAAATTAGCAGGCATGCGATTGTTCAAGATGGTCTATACACATCCTTTTTGTTGCTGGGAGAGCTCAGAAGTTCCCAACTTTTTAATTCTCAAGGTTTCGAAGAACTCTGAACCCCAATTTTTGCCATCGTCCCGACTTTGCGCTTGTCTTGCTGGGCGTGTCAGGGTGAGAAAACACTGCTGGTGGATGGCAGGAATTCACAAGAAGCACACACAGACGCACTGGACAGGACAGCATGCAGGGCTGGCACAGATACGAGAGTGTGAATCCTCGGGTCCCCGTATTTGCCCATAGCTTCTGAGGCTTTGAAAGATACACAGGACGACAGTTTTACATTACTACAGTCAAATACGATACATTTCCTTTACACTGGCCTAGAGTAACGTGAATATTCTTAAATTCTATAGAGGAAGTGGGATGTAAGGTCCAGAGCTTGAAAACACTCATAACCCCCTGGGTGGCTATGGATGGGAATCCAAAAAAAATTTTTTTTTTTAATTTTAAGCATAGAGCACAATCAATAATTTACTCTTTAGAATCCCTGCGTTTCCTTTTTTTGTTTGTTTCTTTTTGTGGTCGTCGAAGGAAGATTTCTATCACATGCACTCACACTTGCTTTTAACCAAGCATCGTTTCGCGTCAAAGGGGAATGTACATTTGAGCTCTATGAAATTATTTCTGCAGCGGTTAACAAACTTATTTTTAAAAAGGGCTGGAGGTGGGGGCAGGGGCTGGGGAGGGTGGATCTTGTGTTCTCAGCTCCTACAGTAACTGGTCGTAGGACCTCAAAACTTTCTGAAGATGTTGAGAGAATTTAGTTTCATTGGCTAGCATCTAATTTAAAATGGGGAGCACTACCCTAAACTTAGCCCGATGTACTTACAAGAACAATATTTTGACATGTGATTTGGAGGAAATAACTTCTTCAAACACTCCTTGCAAAACTAGAACAGAATATTAAGTCCATAAATCGCTGCGTTTGTTAAGAGAAGTGAAGGAATCACTTGTTCATTTGCTACATTTAAAAAAAAAAAGAAATTAATTTGTCATGTAATCATGTTGGAAACCATTCAAATTGATTCCCCCTTTGACATCTGGCTGATATCTAAGTGTATTTTAACTATGTGATTTCATTTACTTCTGAAACCATCTGGTTTTTTAGATAATCAGTTATGCCCTAGATCACTGTGGGCCCAGCACTGTGTGCTAGTTGGTCCCTGGGGAATATCCAAGAAGTATATAAAACGTTAAGGATACTGGTTTTGGATTTCCTTTCTAGTTAATTATGCTATCAGATTAATAGGTGAATCAAGTAAACACATTTTCGTTTAACAGACTTGTCATGATTACCTATAAATGGGTTATTAGAAGCCTAGAAAAAGGTGAACACTGTATTAAAATTACATGATAATTGCACATTACAATGACCGAAATACTAATTTTCCAAGTAAATCTTTTGTTTTGCACTATCATCAAAAGAAACAGTCGAGTCTTACCCAAGAAGTAACCCTACTTAAAAAACCTTGACTCTCACAAGTTTCATGAATGAAACACAAGCGTACGAGAATTAGACTTTCTAAGCCTCATTGTGTGAGATAAGAATTAAAAAAAAAAAAGTCCTAAGATCTCAACATTTCCTGTAATTGCATTTTATTCCTGTAAAACTTGAAACATTCTCGGATTTCTAATATAATCAGAGAAACTTTTTTATATACCTCGGGTTAGGAAACTCAGATAATTTTAGATGTAATTTGCAAGTTTTTGTTTAATTGTTTGGTACAATGTTTGAAATTGCTGATAAAGTACAGTGAATCGAGTAAGTGAAATTTTGAAATCCGAGACAGAAGAGCTCAGTCGTTTTCATTACACTCATTTGCCATTAAAATGCTAGAGACTATACCATTTGAAAAATAAAGCAATAGTTTTATTATTGTCTTTTTAAAGTGAATAGCTTTTAGGAGTTTCATTTTGGCTAGAGTCCAAGTTTATTACACTGACAAGATTTTGTCCCTTACGTTAACATTTTTCTACCTTTGCCTGCAGATACATGGCAAAATATCTTCGTATGTGATCCTTTGGTCTAAAATGTAGAACTGCCTATCTGTTAGACGAAGAAGAAGCATGTTTCTGGCCTCCCTACTCCTTCTTAGATCTTCTTAATATCATGAAGGGTTAGCTACAGCAGTC